GAGTGAGTGCTAATGTTAAAACAAAACAACAAAACCCCTCCTGCTAATTTTTCTAATAAACATTTTTTAGCACCAATGATATGAATCTATGTATCTGGAAACTCACTGCATCCTGTGTCCATCAGTGTCATGGAGTATTAAAACCAAAAAAATTTTTTTCCCTCGTAAACTTAGAAGACAAATGATGAAATATCCTGGCCTGACACATCCCACAATGTGCTTGTTGTCAACCTTTTCCACTCTTGCCAAGACCCAGCCAAGGTGAGTCATGATGGAGGTCACCAAATGGTCAGAAGTCACTTGCAGGGACCCTTGGATCTTTCTTGGGTCTCTATCCCATCTTCACTCTAGATTTCATGTTATTTACTTTTGCCTTTGACCAGAAGTTTGCCACCATCCTTTGGCCTCATTCTTAGGTCTTGAATATCCTGTTTTCTAGCCTCTGTAGGACTTTGGCTTGGTTTTTGTCTCGCTCCTTCCCTGCTCCTGACTTCCTCTAACCTTGTTCAGGCCTCTAAAGCAGAACCTAGCTTAAGTGAATGACCTTCGGCCAAACTTTAGCTCCAGCAATGGCCTGGCTTGGATGTTACATTATTGCAAAGCACTGAATTCCAGATTTTCCTATTCAAATGGGAATTTTAGTGATACAAGGTTTCTGTCTTCTGTCTCTGGCACTTTCATCAGACAATAATAAAGATTTAGAAGTACTGTCAGTATATGTGAGCTAAAGTGATTCCTTCCACCACCACTCAGGCCTGTTTGAAAACAATTTCCTGAGTGTTCATCTTTAATATCAGATATGCACTATTACTTTAAAGAAGAGGGGGAAGAGGACATTAGGACACTTGCTGAATTTATCCCAAGGTTAAATCAAGTAAAGAAGAATCAGCTTGGCAGGGTAGAGAGGCTGGGGTGAGGTTCATAACATATGATTGGGGAGCTTGGCTTTCAACTAAGGAGAAAATGTACAAATTCATGTTTCAGTCATAACAAACCATCCATTCACTGGCTGCCTTCCTTCCCAGAAGTTTCAGACATGGAAGGATTCTAAAATGAATATAGAATCTGTTTGAGTTGCATAGATCTAATGTTAGAAAAGATTCACACTTTTAAGTGACTAATTATATAGCTGTGGAAAATATCACTTGTTTGTTCAAGAGGTGAGGACTTGAATTGAACCCTCATGAGCCCTGATCAACCACCAACTCTCACACTTCATCAAGTGTTCAGTGACATGAAGAAAATCAGCAACGCATATATTATATCACTGTGCTGTCCTTTCTCATGACTCTCAAATTGGGAAGAGAAGAAAATTATAACCAGGAGGTATCTCTATTGGCTGAGCCTCAAAATATCAGCAAGACAAGAGTCCACTGAAAATGTTTTGTAAAACACCAATGCCATGTGCTCTCCCAGTAAAGCCATGGAGCAATAAGGTTACATCCCAACAATTTGATTATGGTGCACCCACACCTCAGGCATTGTTCATATCAAGGAGACAGAGGTGGGTACACAGGTAAGGAAGATGGGTCTGGGAACTCCCCCAAATGCTCTCAGCCTGTGCCTGGACCTGCCTGAGTTTAGAGTTCTAAAAGAAAGACCCCCCTTTGTGGCATCTACTGAGTGAACTTCAAGCAACTGATCAACAAATTCAACCTACCATTTGGCAGCAGAGAATCAAGATTTCTACCATTTCTAAGACTACAGGGCTCTAGTTAGCAAATCCCACAGTAAATATTCCCATGTTTGACGAAAAATGAGTATGACAAGCAGAAAAAAAAATTACTTGACTAGTATTTTCATGTAAGATGCTTTGGTTGATAAATGTAATAGTTATCTAATTCCCAATCCTTTCTTCCCATGACTTTGGTCATGAGTCACAGAGATTTAGCTGTTCTGGCGAAAGAATACACATCCTTATTGTTTAGTATAGATGGCAATGTTAAAACTGTTCTTTCTAAGTTAAGAATAGTTGGCAATATGCTGGATGAGACAATAAGAATCAGAAAAACCTTAGAAATATGTACACAAAAATTGCTTCTCAAAACTATCATCTTGAGAAACAATTCATCTATTTTCTTTATTGCCTTCAGACAAAGTTCACACACCACCCTTGAAACACAGCCTTGAGGTATCATAGTTATTCCTTGGTTTTGACCCAAAGCAACATTACCCAGTTGTAACTGTTTTCGAAAATATTATTGTGTTGGCAATAATCTACCAAATGTGCTGTAGTGCTCTAGATCCCTAGAGAAAATTCTGTAGCTATACTAAACAATGGCACCATTAGTGGTATGTGCACAGCCCTCAGCTGGATGCCTTCAAAAGGGGAATACTTACTGATTACAGAACTCTGGTCTATTTGCTTAAAACTCAGATGCAGGACTACCGCTGGGTCACACACAGAATCACTGGGCTGGAAGGGAAAATGTGGTTCCCTCTACACAGCTGTAATAAAACATTAAATGTGTAGCTAGTGCCTGCTTATATAGAAGAGGCCTTTAGCTTGAAATACTACTGTTTCTACCAATTTCTAAGGGCCTTCCTGAAGAGAAGAAAAATTTCTTGGCATCATGTGCACTGGAAAAGGTGAAAAGTGATTTGGGGCCCTGGAAGATGTTTGCAGATTTGGTCCTCATCACTCACTGGTGTGCTTGTGTCTAGGAAGCCTGAATGCAGACTAAGGGAGGAGTATGTGTGCAGTTGCTGATATCAACACTATGCTCCAAAACAGGACAAAGGATATTGGAGATAGCAAGAATGCTCCCAAAAAATATCTGATGGGACACGAATGATGTGTATTTCCTGTTCTAAATTGTGAATTTTGGCTAGTTCCATAATATTTATTCTCAGGAAAGTCCACGATCATACACATTTTTATAATTTTCTTTCTTTAACCTCTTCGAAGTTTAAAGACGTAAGGTTTTTTTCATCCCCCAAAGTCTTAATCTTCTCTGTAGATTATATTAATAGGGCTCAATATAAGAAGAAACCCTTTTTGTTTTTGAGAATCCTTACAGTGGTCTACAGAGTTCATTCATTTCTCAACAAATCCTACCTCTGAGTGTTATATCCTAGTGGCTGAAAGTGTAGGCTTTAAAGTAGACCATCAGGATCCTAGCTCTGCTATTTAATTTCTGTGTAAGCTTGGGAAAATTACTGAAGCTCTCTGCACCTCAAGTCTCCTATCAATAAGGTGGAAATAATGGTACTTTCCTCATATGGGTGAGATAAAATACTGCCAGTAAGAGCAACAGAAGTTATCCCAGATATTGAGTAGGTACTCAATAAATGCTAACTCATTACTATCTTATTTTTTAATTTCCATGTGTATGGTCAGAAGTCTGGATCAAGGAGTGCAAATTGCTACATACTTACACTGCTGCACAGGGAAAGAATTACAGATAGTAATATACTGTAATATATATTACTGTGTATATAGAATTTCTTCTCCCATTACTTTAATCTAGTGTCATTCCTATGTAAAAATAGTCCTTGTTTAAAAATAATATTTTGATATTTATGTATCTCTACGTGATAATCACAGTAATAATCAGTTTATTCCAGACTCTGGGCTAAGAATTATGTCATTTCATTCTCAACAGAACCCAGCAGATACCATTAGGACCCTTATTTACAGGTAAGGAAGCAGTCCAAACAGGTTCTGAGAGGCTTGAAGTTGCATACAGCTAGGCAGGTCAGAGTAAGATCTGAACCTGTGTTCATCCAAATCAAATACCTTCTTACAGCACTAAAAAGCAGTTTCACAGTTTGTTTTTAAATAATTCTAAAATTTCTTTCATTTGTTTGTTTGTTTAGGTTTCTTAACTGTCTAAGAGCTGAAAGTCTTACTTGGCACATGGCTTTTGAATTCTCCTTGAATCTAGTTTTCTCTTGGCCCATATGTAGGGCAAAGGTCAGCTTGGACACAGCCTGTGGTGTTCATGGTATTCTTTTCTGGGCAGCTGCCATGAAACTACTCTCAGAATGCTATTGGCCTTAGGCTCAGCTCCATCGTACTACCCCAACGTATTGCTTTGTAATGTGCTATGTTGGAGCATGGACAGATAATGTAGACTTGTCAAATAATATGTCAAAGCAATGTTCAAACTTTCTTCCTTCCAGGAAGAGTTTCTTCCTTGGGGATCAGGGCTTACTTGCCTGTATGTGCTCTGAAGGCACAGGGCTCTCTCTTTATGCTGTTCCTATCAGGACAGAGTAAATCTCTATTTTATGTAAATCAAAGGACATGAGGCCATCACAGTTAATACTTGACTCAGGCGCTACTTTCTCCAGAAGCCTCCCTTGATTTCCTCTTTCTTGGGAAGATACCCAACTTCTGTTCTCTTATCATTACTCTTTCCCATCTAGTATTAAAATGATAATTTTAAAGCTTGTCACTCTCTTCTGACTGTGTTTGTAGACAGGGATCGTGTCTCGTTTGGTGCTGGTAATCAGCACACATGCACCAAATGCACTTATGGCAGGATCTATTATGAAGGTTGGGCATTAAGATATTACAGTCAGTTGGTGGAGGTATAGTCCAGACATTGAATACTCATAATATCACTTCTGGCATTGCTCTAATACTCAGCATGAATCACAACATCTTACACATGTAGGCACTTGGGAAGTGGACATTGACTCAATGACTGATTAACTGGTTGGATGAATGAACATCAAGCATATCAGAATCTGACTGGCAACTGGACATGTCATGAAAGGCATGAGATTTATAGCAACACTTTTTGTTTTATTTAATAATGAACAATTCCTAATAATCAAGAACCTTTGATCATTATACATCCCAATAGCAATGCTCCACAAGGAAATATTAGCCCTTGCCCTTAGACACCCTAAGAGAAATAGGCTCATGAAGTCTTCATGTGAACCCGTCAAGACCACCACTGCTTTTGGTCTTGAAAATGCCCCAACATAAGCATATTGACCAAGCTAAATGGTCTCTGGGAACTCTATGTTTGGAGTGGTAGAGCCCTTACCTGTCTGTGTTGTTGGGAGACTTGATAGCCCAGTCCTGTGATGGACTGATTCTGAATTTTCTGAAGCAGGATCTTTTGCTGAAGTGGTAAGGGTGACCTCATCAAAGGCTGGCTTGATAAGGGTTGGGTGGGCTGTGATGGTGGCTGCTGCTGCTGCTGCTGCTGCTG